TTGTCTTTGTAGCTTATGTTGTATGTTTTGCAAAATGGACGTAAAATATATATTTTTGTATCTTGTACGTGCTCAAGGATTTTATCTGTAGTTTTTGGGACTATATATAGAAAAACTTTACCCCAGTATGAGGAATTGTTTTACACATTTATCATAAAACAAGTTATGTTCAGATTTCAGACAGAAGATACTCTAAAATTGTACAACTCAGAAAAGGTTGAAAAATATTTATAGTTCATTTTTTTCTGCTTAGAAATATTTAATCTCTAAATTACAAATGATAACTGTTTTAACAGGTCTAGTTTCCGAATTGGAAACCAAACCCTGTCTGACCTATAAATGATCATTATATAAGGCCAATTAAAAGTTTAAAACAAATATTGAGTTTATGCTAACCCCACAGATACTGGACACACTAATAGTAATATGATGTGTATAAACTATGATATATTATACACACTATACTTATTGGTGTGTTCGACACCAGTGTGGTTAACCAGACTTATCTCAGATTTGTGTTCTACAATACCCTTAAGTTTTTATATGCACTGTTAAAGTCAGAACTCCTGCTCTATATTAGCGCAGTAAAGATATTTTTCAAATTAACAATAAAATGCCTAGCTAATACATACCTACCCTATTTTTTTCTGATAGTAGAAACACAAGTAATTTGTTTGGCCTAATGTTTCTGTCATTTCATAATATTTAGAACTACTATACTTGTTTAAGTTTCCAAAACATCAAGTAGTATAACAATTGAAACTTCAATGAAAGCCAACATCACAATGAATCTAATAATACAATGTTTATAACATGTTTTTTTTTAACTGAATGAGAAGAAATGTAAGGCCAAATATCCTCACAAACAACGCTTAAGTGAAATCAGTTTGCAACTAAGCAGTTCGAAAATTTTGCAACACGTCTGGAGAAAGACGTTCCTCGTGACGCTGTAATTCACTAGAGTAAAACGTCCGTTTATTATGTTTGTTTTTGCATAATAACTGCTATACATACCGTAGAAGCACCTTCCTTTTTGTCATCGCCGCTGACAACATGCGCCATTCTCTGCGGCTTCGGCCGCATGCTTGGCCACAAGTCACCGAAATCGGGATACATAGCCTTATTTATGAATCAGTAGTAGGTAAACGTTGCAGAAGTGTATGTATATTGTTCATTGTCAATGCTGCTTAAACAACATGCCTAACATTAAGTCAACACTCGCCTGCATTTTCGTCTTTTCCGCTTCGCGTTGCGAATGATGTCTAGGCCTACACAAAACGAAAGTAAAATGTGCGCATGTCTAAATGTAAGGGAGATCACTCGTGTTTTCCCGCAGTATATGTCTGAAATCATTCCGAAGGTGTTGTTGTTTTTGTGTATATTGAAATAAAAGAGTCCTGTTATATGGTAATACTTCAATAAACGAAAAACACAAATCACACCAACAGACATATAAAATGTAGGCCTATCGGAGCATATTTTCGTTTCTGGCTGAGCTGTAATTAGCGAGAAGGCGATATAAAAATGCAATAGCATATCTTATGATGAAAATAGAACAAAATGATAATACTGCGAAGGTAAAAAAAGCCTTCAGGTTAGAATACCAATATGGAACTAGAGAAGGACAGTGGCTAGTTCTAACATGATTCCCGGTCTCATCTGCCCCGGCCGGTTGATCCCATTTTAGTTAGGCAAGCCTGGTGTGAATCACACGGAGGCGATTTTAGAATTAATTGACAGGATCCGTATCCATTAATAGGTTTGTAATATGAACTTTTTATGTTGATCTCCTACATAATTGTAAGTTATACTCCGCCTTATATTTCGTTAAATTATCAAGTTTACGTAACAAGTGCAAGCGAAATCCTAATTGACTGCCATGTTGGAAACTTCCTCAATCTTTCCGATATAGGTCAGACGTCTAAATATGGGTGTCATGACCAAATATGGAAATTGTAGTAAACATGACCGCATCAGTAGTAATACTATATTTGGCCGTGAAGGCCATATAAGGAAACGGATAACATCACGCGTGATCTAACATGGCCGTCGTTTCTGTTTTTAGAGTTTTTAGTAAGGATTTGTTATTTCAACGATGAACGAATATGCAATATTTTGATAACATTATAATCATATGAAGCGTGAATCATATATATTATTACTGATTAGCACTTTTGATTTTCCTCAGTTAGTTGGAACAGGACTGCTTCATAGCTCTGACCACGCAATATATAAATGTAAACAGGGACGTAAATGTCACCAATTTTAGCCAATCACAGGACAATATTTCCGTGTAAAGGGTTAATCCAGCGACAGTTCCAAGAGTAAATACGAAGTTTTAGAAGGATACTTAGTTCTTACTAAGAATAAGATTATATCCAATGACGTGTGAGTGAACTTGAGTCCGTGGTAATGGATTTTATTTGCAGTTTGTTTAGTATTACTGGTAGGTGACGTTATGTCTCGTTTATGAATATCTGAGCTCATTAACTGAAGTATTTTTACCGGAAGTTGCGTGTAGCATGCATGACCTACAGTCAAGTAGCAGTTCCCGATTGAGATAAACAGGGTGCATTTTCAATAAGAATACGACGTTGTGATAAGATCATATGTTCTACAAAGGAAAGGAATGATATTTACAAGCCATTCAAGTGCATTTGAGTCCAAAGTTACGCATAATAAAGACAGTAGGTCCGGTATATGATTCAATTTAGTACCAGTGGGTACCGCTAGAGGCCGTCTGTGTGAAATCGACATTTATGAATATCTTGAGCTCATTAACTAAAGTAATACCAATAGCTGGCGGCTAACGCCTTAGCTAAAAAGGTAAAAAAAACAATAAAAAAAAACAAAAACATCATGGTAATGCAAAGCACATAAAGAAAAACAACCTCTTTAACAAGACAGGCCATTCGGATTAATATGTCTTGCCTGTGCCCCGCTATGACCATCAATGCACATTAAAACGCAAAAACTTAATGTTGATGGATATGCTAACAAAGACAATGGACTATGAAAGATAGGCCGCATCCAGCATTTGACATATGGGTTAAGAGGTATTGTTACCTGACTCGCTATATAAATGCATATTAATAAATTTCGACTGTTTCCCAGACAATTCACCAAACGAACTATAGGTAATGTGTGCTACCGTAAAACTGTTGACTGGTCACCGTAAAACTGTTGACTGGTCACGTGAAACTGTTGACTAGTCACGTGAAACTGTTGACTGGTCACGTGAAACAGTTGACTGGTCACGTGAAACTGTTGACTGGTCGCGTGCAACTGTTGACTGGTCACATGTTAGGTAATCGAACGCACCTATAATTACAAGCACCCCGATGACCAAGCGTTTTTGGTACTGGATTGTTGACGGTTGTCTGTCGGTAGATCTAAACATCACATTCGACATAGAACTTTTTGGTTTTTCATTGGTCAAGTAACAAAACAGTTGTTTCATGCCTTATCAGTCAACAGTCAAAACTATTTTCCCGAGGAGTTGGGACCCTCCAGATGAACTGTTTCCCGAGGCCGACTGATAAGGCATGAAACAACTGTATACTACCTACTATGCATATATGGTGCAAGTTTGGTTGGGCTAGCACTCATACTTTTAGTGAAATTAACTTAGACGCAGAAACTTAATGCTGACGCCGCCTCCGCCGCCGTCGCTGCCGCCGGAAAAAGCAACACCTTAGTCTCGCTTCCGCTACTTCGTGGCGGCGAGACAAAAAACCTTTAAAACAAAATGAAAACATCATCATTCCTCATAAAACATATGCAAAACTGAATACTCTGTAAGGTCCAGTGTGTCCTGATGATATCCACCATACAGTTACTTACCAACTTAAAAACAATGTACCTCATAATGTAATTGATTATAATGAAACATTGTTTACCTTAATTTTCATTTGAACAGTTTAGAGATGTATATGGGTATAAATATTTCTTTTCGTTTTCCTTCATGCCACTACTTGATCAGAGATGGCCGCGGTGGCCGAGTGGTCAAAGGGCCTGTCACACCTAGCAGATTTGGGTCGCCGAGCCATACCGGAGCACAAATTTGGCGATTTTCGGGGATCGGTACTAGTACGGCAGCGCAACGGTATCAAATCGCTAAGAACGGTAGTACATCGTCAGGATATCGTCTGGATATCGTCAGAGCATCGGCGAAAAATTTAGAAACGGCAGGTGACGGTAGAAATTTTTGAACATGCTCAAAAATGTCCGCCGTTGTGGTGCCGGAACGAGCAACGAGATTACAACGGCAGTACATCGGGAGAACTCCGGTGTAGCATCGTTAATGTCGCTAGAGCACTGGTAGCGCCCCGTAATCGATCGGCTGCTCTCCGCTGGCCTCAATGTGTACCGTACTGGTACCGATGTGATACCGTAGTACTACCGAATACCACCGAAGTAGTAATGATGCGCCGCAGATGTACTAACGATGTACTACCGTAACATCGGCACCGCAACGGTATCACTCCGCTATAGCTCCGGTCAACGGTGGCACATCGGTAGAACAACGGCGGTTCCTCGGTATAACATCGACAGCGTATCGGTAACACTGAAGTGACAGAAAAGTGGTATTCGGTAGCACATCGGCTCTTACATCGGTAGAACAACGGTATCACAACGGCAACGCCGGAACTACATCGGTTTTGCTATGGTCAATTAGATTTTTCAAGTGCTTACTCGACGGAGCTCTGCCGATTTTCTCGCCGTTGTTTATTTTTTGTTCCGTTTTAGGTGATAGGCCCTTATGGTGTCTGACCATCTACGATCATTAGTCCTCCACCACTGGGTCGCGTGTTCGAGGCCTACGTGTGGCAGTCGCCAGGTACTGGCCGAAGGTCGGAGTTTTTTTCTCTGGGAAACTCCGGCTTTCCTCAACCACCAAAATCTGACTCGTCCTTAAATGATCATAGCTGTTAATATGGCATAAAGCACAAATAAACCAACTCAACTTGAACAAAATTCAAAATCAAAATTAAGCGATTTATATCATCAGTTTCATTGATGGTAAAAGTAACAGTTCCATTGATAAAAAGAGTTTCAGCTTTGTTTATAACGCATATATATTTACACGTCACATGTAATTCATTTGTGTTGTTGTTTATCCAGTTTCTACGGCAACGAGCAGCACGTACTTTCTTGTTTCTACTTCACGTGTGGCTGTCACTGAGGTCGTCATTTTCAACAATTCATCATTCACTGCTGTCGCTACAATCAAGGGGCTAAAGAACGATACCTCTGGGCTGATGGCTGACAACTCCAATGATGTGTCCATCATGGCCTCCAGCTTCACAACTATAACACTACCGACCGATATGAATATGGACGCTACCGGTGTGTATGAAAACAATGCCATATCAGTCCAGTGCAGTAATGATATTTCTCTGTTGATGTACAGTGTAACTCCAAACCTCGGAAATCTCATCAAACCATTCCACGTAGGTTTTTTTAGGAAGTTATTCTTTCCCGTTACACCCAACTGTTCCAATTATTTCGTCCTACATATGGTGGCAAACGCCGTCTCAGAAGTTCGCATAACGTTCCCCTCAAGCCAAACAAACACATTGTTCACTACCTACAATGCCATTAGTTACTACGGAGGAGACACCCTCGTGCTAGAAATCCTGGCGTACAGCGCTGCTCTGGTAGAGAGTTTGGCAGACTTGACGGGAACCTCTGTTAAAGCGAATGTACCCATAGGTATGTTCTCTGGGTGTGATTATAGCAGCACCCAGAATGGACCTGACTACCGCTCTGATAAGGTCCCCGGACAGATAGACATGGGTCTACAGTACATCGTCATGGCACTCAATGAACCACGTTTTTCGGTTGAGGGGTATGTGATTGTGTCGACAATGGAAAACACAACTGTCATCACCTATGCCGACGATACTTGCCACGAAACAAAACTGAGGAAAAGCGGGGATAGTCATGTGGTTACCATGTCAGCTGTCAATGAAATCGTGGTATCAAGCCAACCTATTGTTGTAGTTCACATGGCGTACAACGGAGCAGACAATCATAATATGTACTATGTTACTCCTGTGTCGATGTTCCGTAATGACTACAAAGCGGCCGCGTTCAAAGACATGGCAATGAAAGTCAAAATTACTTTCAACAATGGAAGTGAAGATTCTTTTGAGGTGAATGAACACTCAGTCACCATGGATGTTCGCGATCGTCTTGTGGACGACGTTGTTGGTGTCGGACGTCTGGGAGGTGCTGATGTATTCTATAATAATACAGTGCACTTCATAAAATCACAGGACCCATACCTTTTCGGTGGGTATATGTGGAGTGAAGATAATAATGATAGACTCTTCATCACATCACTCGGCAGGAACACTCCAAGACAACATACGGTAGGTAACGTCGTTTAGTGTTGTTGATTTAACGTTACGCTACTACAATTGGTACGCTACCAAATACAACATACAGCCATTTTGTGACTATGCATACTGAAAAAGTGGAATGTGGATTTTGAACATTGGTTCAATAGCAACCACGAAAACCATGAATGTAAATGAGAATAAAATTGTGAAAATGATTCTGGTCGAAAGATCTTTGCTGAATTGATTTTCCAGGAGACTGTTGGCATTTATATAGGAACAATATGTGCTACTCTTCTAGTTGACTTACTTCAGTTTCCATATCAGGCTATATTTATCGAGGATCTTATCTGGACTGGTAACAAAACCTCATGCAGTTCCTTCAATTTAAGATTCACTTCTATCGGCAATATGCTGTCTTTAAATAACAAGACATACATTGACAAAATAGATCGTATATACTCTTCTCGGCTTGAAATAAAGGACACTGTATATTTACAACATGACGAACCGGGACGGCTTACTACTTTTGATAGGCACATTGTAACAGTAGGATCGGTAGTCTAGTGGTAGGACGCCGGGCTCGTGACCAAAGGGCTGTGGGTTCGAGTTACGTCACGGTACTTTGTTGTATCTTTGAACAAAATACTTTACTCCGTTTGTTTCAGTCTACTCAGCTTTTAAATGAGTACGTTGTTGTGCGGTGCTGGAATTGTTGAATGCTAACTTTGAGCACCGAAATGGCAGCACCGGATGTATGCTACACTGAAAGTTATAGAAGATATTAGCTGGTTGCAAAAGCCCTATAACCACGGGTAATAATTTGTAAACCGCTTTGAAACGACCTACAAACTAGGTTGTGATAAAGCGGTATATAAAAACCTAGAATTATTAGTTAGTATTGTAAGAATTTGTACTCTGCCTTTCCCAAGTAAGTTAGGAATCAAACAATTTAAACAATGTTCATAAGTAACATCTTTGTTCTAACTTTATGCTACGAATTCTAACCCATAAGTCTCAAAAGTTTATTTCAATAAAAGAGCAGTTCGTTATTAACGATTGCAAACAATAACATGAGCAATAGCGTGTTTTCCAAGTACAGTATTCGTGGAAGGATTCATTACAGATGGTTTACAAGAAAAGGAATCTTTCGTTTTACCGTATGGCGCCCTTCTGTAGCATCCGAATCTGTAAAATGAACCACAACAAAATATAAGTGTATATATCAAATGTGGTTGACGAAACAAGGCAGCGTATTCAAAGCAATACACAACCCCAAACTCGATACAAATATTACCACAAAGAACTAAGGGCCATAAATATGTCAAACGTAGATCAGGAGTCCTAATGTTAGAACGCGACACGCTGCCATCTCAAGCAGTTCCCTCATACAAAATGGCAACTGTATGTGATAGCATAGAACCACGCCTCTGTATGTTGTCGGTGACGATATCGTCTTTTAGTGCTCGACAATGAGCCATTCAAATCAAAATATACCCTGGACAAAGTGACGCATGGACCGACTGACGAACGGATGGATAACCGGTGAGGGACTAGTAGCCACAGTATGTATCAATGTATTGATATGTTAGATATAACAATGATATCACATACTCGGTTCTGTGTTGTTATAGGTGTGTATGGGAGACGAAGAACCGCTACATGATGGATGTGTAGAACCGTTGAATGGATGTCACGGTGAGTCAAACTGGAATTATACAGTATAAACAAAAAATGTAAACTTGTATCTGAGTTATTCATGAAAAGTTATTAGTTTTGACATCGATACCGGTTCTAGCTTTTACATAATGCTAGCTTGTTTTCTGTTTTAAAGGGCCAAAAAATGAATCAAATGCGACGACCATTCCAACAACCGGAAGTCCGAACATTCTACAACCTACCAATGTGACCGTTCCACCATCTACCAATGTGACCATTCCACAACCTACGAATGTGATCGTTCCACATCCTACCAATGTGACCTTTCCACAACCTACCAATGTGACCATTCCACAACCTACCAATGTGATCGTTCCACAACCTACCAATGTGACCGTTCCACCACCTACCAATGTGACCATTCCGCAAATTACCAATGTGACCATTCCACCACCTACCAATGTGACCGTTCCACAACCTACCAATGTGACCATTCCGCAACCTATCAATGTGACCGTTCCACAACCTTACAATGTGACCATTCCGCAACCTACCAATGTGACCATTCCGCAACCTACCAATGTGACCATTCCACCACCTACCAATGTGACCTTTCCGCAACCTACCAATGTGACTATTCCACCACCTAACAATGTGACCTTTCCGCAACCTATCAATGTGACCGTTCCACAACCTTACAATGTGACCATTCCGCAACCTACCAATGTGACCGTTCCACAACCTACCAATGTGACCATTCCGCAAACTACACATGCCACCCCGCAATCTTCAATAATGGTCAATGTCTCCCAACCTATGAGTACGACCGCCAGCTCGCAAACCACAAATCCGACCCTCCCACAAACAACTAAAACAACAACAACAACAACAACAACCTCACAGTCAACTAATCCGACAACAGCAGGATCAAAGTGTCCCATAAATGCACAAAGGTACAATCACCACGGACAGGTGATTTGTTACTGGTTGCTAGTCGCAACTGCCAGGATACAAAACCAGGCTTACGATACCTGTTTACAACAGGGAGGACAACTGCCTATCATACCTAACTCAGAGGCTAATGAGGTTGTTGTCGATCTCATCTCAACCAGGTAACACAGCGCAGCCATAAAATAGCATCACTTTAAGTTGATTTTACAGTTTTAGAAAAGGTGAAAGAAATATTTTCAAATTTTCAAATAAAAACAAATCCAATATGACACATTAAAAAGATAAACTTTTATACAAGATACACACAGGTGGTAACACCCATAAAAGGGTGGGTGCCAATTCGGGCCTTCTGGTGACTATTACCGATCAGTTTCCTTTTTTTTGTATAAACATACCTTGGAGTTATGCCATCATGACATGACCAGATATTAAGTTCAGCTTGAAGACCATTCTGAAATATGAAGGGGTAAAGTGGGGGACCAAACTCACAAACAAATGTTCTCTTTTGGACAAAACTACATGTTATTGTTTTTCAAGTTTCTTCATAATTGTGATGTATTGTGTATCACTAAAGCTGCGAATCATAAAAAGTAGCACATAGTCGATAAGTAGGTCACTGTGAACCTGTTATAAATATATTTAATTATGTCAACAACTTTTCCTATTTTGTTTATTAATGCACATTAGAATCATGCAATAATTTTATCAAATTGTATTAATAAGTGTCTTAACCAAATCGCAATAAATTTTGACCTATATACAGTATGGCAAAAATGAACTACATTGCACCAAACAGCATACCGATGAGTCTGGGATCAACGAGTTGGAAATCGAAATAGGTCCAAACTATACGGTGGAAACAGAAGGGGAGATTCGTTAAACCCTTTAAATACTTGACTTTCCGAAATTTGCAGAGTAACGGTCGATTTCGAATATATTACTTCTGAGTAAAGTGTATTTCTTATTAACCATGTCACTACTCAAACACAATAATTGTGACTATGAAGGTTACGGCAAGCATCGGGGATAAAGAAATCCAGCGGCAGGTTCTACCATAGTGTATCTCTAAGGGTGAACTTAGCCCTTCCACTGCACTTTATTTGTCCCTCCGCATCCTCGATATTCAGGGGTTACGTTCACTTTCGCTCTCTGCACCCCTAGAATATGCCATAGCAAAATTGAAGGCACGAACATGGCTGTTTGATTGGTCTCAGGTAAAAAAATCCTGACCAATCGCTAGGCTAATACCTGTCCTTTGAAGATTACAAAGGAGAGACGGCCGACTTCAAAGCCTGTCAATTTTTACCGTTACGTGACCGCGATATTCTGTTGATGTACATCAAAGGATCGAACTAGTCTTCTTGTCTCATCAACAAGGTGGCGCACACTGAGCCTTCAATTTTGCCATGACATATTTCAGGGGTGTACAGAGCGAAAGTGGGCGTAATCCCTGGAGTATCGAGAATGGTCTCTCCGGGACTTTTCGGTGATGCTGTGGGGCAAAACAAAAAATCCATATCACAAAATACAGTTGAAAATGAAGATATGTGCGAAAAACTCATTGATTATATGAATTTCAAAAGTATTTGATGTAAAAGTGTGAAGGACGATTAACATATCTAGAAACAATGCCGGAAGCTACCAATACACAGTTCAGTCAAGCTTCATCGATCAGGCATTAAAGATTCTTAGTTACTAAAATCAAAATTAAAGTAAAATGTATACATTATGATAAAACAAATACCATTAGTCCTAATCTTTCAATTAGATTTCGAAAAAAACTATGATTAAACATTTAATACATAAAGTTAATGCAAGTCAAGGGTCAAGTTGTCACCTGCTTTGTTATATTACTTTTACGTTCAAGTCACATTTTCTAGTCACAATTCATTGTTTTTAAAATTTGTATGCGTGTTTAACTAAAGAGTTATCATTCAATTTCTTAAACTTTGATAATCATAAAACGTTCACCGATTTATAACAGGTCTTGAATCTAGATTAAGCCGACATATATCAACAACTGAATTCCTATTACTTCTTTTATTATCATTGGTATGAAATTTAAGGTTTTATGGTTTTATTTTGTTTGACGTCCTATTGACAGCTAAGGTCGTGTCTCCATGTGTATTGTGTAACGGTGCAAGTTTGCTGGAGACAGGGTATGTTGGTGTACTTGCCTCCTTGTAATAGAGCGGATCTGATGCCGAATTGATAGTGCTATCTCACTGAAAAACCATGCCGAAGGCATCCAGCACAACATTCCGCCCGGTCACATTATACTGACAGCGGGTGAACCAGTTGTTGCAATTAACCCCCAATGCAGAACGTTCAACATGGAATAAAAACTACCATTTTTAAAGACTTTGGTATTGAAGACAGAACCCATTGCCTTCCTGACCTGGGCAGGCTTGTTTTTGCATCAGTAGGGCATTAAATCACACACAAAAAAACAATATAGGAATATCATCAACTAATGCAATCGTTATAGACGTAGCTCATGACATGATATTCAATTCTCTTTTGTAGTAATGCAAACATTTTCTATCTGGACTATACAGTAAATTATACCAGTGGGAAAATCATGACGTCATCCGGCAGCCCTCAGGATTGGAACAATGGTATCAACACAACACAGCCTAACGGTCCGTGCGTGGTCACCAATGGTAACGGCACCTGGAGTAGTTCCGTCTGTGACGTATCTACATACAATGGCGTCATCTGCTCAGCATGTAAGGGAGGAGGTAAGGTTCAGCCATGGATTTGGATATGTTTTGGTTTATCCAGGGGTTACACTCACTCTGCACCCCTGGAGTATGTCATAGCAAAATAGAAGGATCAGTGTGCGCCACCTTGTTCGAAGACTAGTTCGATCCTTTGATGTACAGCGAAAGAATATCGCGGTCGCGTAACGGTAAAAAATTACTAACTTTAAATGTCGTCCCTGTGTAATCTTCAAAGGGCAGGTGTCAGCCTAGCGATTGGTCAGGGTTTGCTTACTCTGACCAATCAAATAGCTGTCTTTATGCCTTCAATTTTACTGTGATATATGCCAGGAGTGCAGGGAGCGTAAGTGGGCATAACCCCTGGATATCGAGGACGGACGGGATGATACACAAAGGGAAAGACGTCTAACGTTATCATTAGTACACATCAAGTCATAAATAAAATATGGTCTGTACTTATATATTCTTGTTGACATCACATGAAAAATTCAATGTTCAGATGATTTTTGTTTAGTTGACAAACAGTAAGTCTATCGTATGAACTGACAATTCTTTTCATTTGTCCAAGCCATTCTTTCTAATTCGTCTTCCTCAAAATCATGTCTTTTTGCAACACCAAAATTATACTTTATAAAACATTTTAGTTTCTATACCGTTAGTGTTTTGACGTTAGATGCAGTTGAATTGCATCAAGTGTGGGCGAGTGGCTGTTTCGTTACCAAGTTGACATAATATTACAGGGGAATTACAATGTCGTTACTGAGAAGATCAAGTATTTTTATTGCTTCGAGTCAAAGTAACAAAAGTGCGATATTTACAATGCATAATACAAAATAGCATTACACAACATTACACACACTCACAACACAACTACAAATAGTGTCCCAATCAACAATGTTCAGTTGCCATACCGTTACTGTTGTTGACCTGACCTGTATAATAATAACCTCACTACTGGTATTACCATACTCAGGTTTGGTACTGATCAGATGTTCTGTCATATATACAGTTCCATGTGCGGGTTATATTGCTTCTTGTGCTGCTAGACATAGGCAATGGGTTCTGACCCCAGGCCGGGACATGCCGCAGTCCTTGAAATGGTAGTTGTTATTCCCTGCTTAATGTTCAGCATTTAAGGTTATGGCAATAACTGGTCCACCCGCTGTCAGTATAATGTGACCGGGCAGAATGCTGTGTTGGATGCTTTCGGCATGGTATTTCAGTGAGATGGCACTATAAAGTCGGCATCAGATCCGCGCTTTCACAAGGAGGCAGGTACACCAACATACCCTGTCTTCAGCACACATACACGCATACACAACACACATGGAGGCACGTCCTTATAGACTTTAGCTGTTAATAGGACGTTAGACAAGTATAGCTAACGTAGGTATCATGTCGAGTATATTTGTGTTGTTGTATATTCTAGGTGCGTCGTGCTATACCCACAGCAAAAACTATTGCGGCCCTTGCTCTTGTCCAAACTACATCGTTAACCAAGTTGATATTACAGAGAAGCTGCAGAGAAAGCTGGACGACTTGAGGAGAGCCACGAGTGTCAATAAGAAGAATACATCTAGAACACTACGTAGGATAACCTGCGCCAGTGATCCTCGACCCTCCTCGGCCGCCATGGGATACCTAGGAGCATCCGTACTCACGGTCGTTTTCGGTGGGTTCATCTTGCTCGACCTACCAATGTTGTTTCTGGAGTTTAAGACCCATATACTCGGTCTTTTCCAAGGATAGAATAACGTCTTGTGTGTTATCACATACATCTCCATATAGTAGTCGTACGTTGTAGTTGTAGAGTTTCGCCGAGTTAAGAGGTTGGCGCATATGGCAGGAAACTGTTTCACAAATATAATCCATTTGTTAAAATGGCAAAAGGTTTTGAAAACTACTTTATATTATAAAAACATTTATTCAGAGATATATCCTGTGCAATCACATAACGTTATACCAAACCTTAGTTATGCCGGAAATACTGTTTCCAACACGTTGTTACAGATTTCGACAGTGGTAGGGGGGTCATTATATTGCTTTATGAATTTCGTCAAAATTTATATTTATCAGTTCTATTACCATCCTCGACATCGTGGGGTTACGCTCACTTTCGCTCTCTACATCCCTGGAATGTCATAGAAAAATTGAAGACACGAAGCAAGCTGCTTGATTGGTTTCACGTAAAAAACCTGACTAATCGCTAGGCTGATACCTGTCTTTTAAAGATTACAAAGGAGAGACGCCCGACTTCAAAGCCTGTCAATTTTTACCGTTATGTGACCGCGAGATTCTTTTAATGTACATCGTTCACTGAACCTTCAATTTTGCTACGACATATTCCAGCGGTGTAGAGAGCGAAAGTGAATGTAACCCCTGGATATCGATGATGTTCTATTCCAAAATGTACAATATTTTTCTTTATTTTCCGTTCTTTTTTTCTTATTTCATTCAACCCAAATAGCATATTTTTTAATACAAATCATCATTTTCGCGCTACGAAATTACCACACCAAAATGCCATCAAAGTAACAGTGATTCGATGCGTTATGTGTACATTTTTTATAAATAAGTTTTTATATATTTAGTTGACTAAGATACATACAAGAGGCCCAGCAGGCCTGTATTACCTGTTATTCATATCACATCTTTGACCTTCAAAGACGGACAAGCTCAAGTTTATTTAAAAAGGCAAAAGTATGGTTACATTGTACATCATGGTGATTTTATAACATCTTTGACCTCTTGTTACCTTGAAAGTAGGTCAAGGTCAGTCTTCTGTTCAACCTGTGTTTGCTCTATCCCAGGAAGCTGCCAGCCAAACAGCATGACTCTAATGACTATGCCTGGTGGTTCTTTAGAAGTTGTCTGAAGCCTTTGACATATTAGGCCTCTGTGGCCTTGAATGCAAATAAGGGTCATCTTAATTGAACCATTTGTAAGGTCTTACCCCAGGAAGCTATAAGCAAAACATCTTTACTCTAAGCCTTTTGGTTCTTCAGGAAGAAATTGTTTAAGGAAAAGTAGTCGACGAACGAAGTATAGGCGGATGAAGGGCTACGGCATAAGCTCACTTTCCCTTTCGGCAGGTGATCTACCAAAATAATTAAGATTTGTAGGTCATTTTGTCAGTTGTCTTATGATCTCTGTCTGCTTTTGTTCCAAAATTACGCGATGAAGGCTGCTCTTTATATACCAATACATAGTATTACAAGGTACCTTATTCAAAGTCCGATATGTTTTTGTTTTTTTTAGAAATAATAAGTATTAGCTCATTGTTGTTTATGAAATCATATACTTATTAATAATGTTTATGTAACCGTAGACTTATTTGTGAGTTTTTTTTTTCTTAATCCACATAAGCATGTTCATTTCAAAGAAATAGAAGTTTCAGACAAGCTTTTAAAAAAAAGAAATCAACTTTCAATCGACATTGTGCTGAAGATGACGTGTCTATATTGTTGTTAACTTGTTGTTTTTAAATGTTAATAAAACATTTGTTCCTCTAATTTCTATCGTGTCGTTGCTTTAATGTAAATCAGAACAATTTAAGCAGGATTTCAACACACTGCATCTTTAGGCTACTGACATATAAGCAGAATGCGACACACTTCCCCAATGTCTCGCTTTAATGCCCCTTATCCCTGTTTGACAGCTAATCAAGAGGGCCAAGTACCTTAATATTAATAGCTCACTTAGTGTTTATTTCTTTTAAGTTTAACAGTTCTATGAAGAGAAAAGAAAAGATAGCAAGAGCATAACAGGTCTGCAGTGCTCACCTGATATTAATCTCCCACTTGTACCTTAAAAGTGGATGAAAGTCAAATATATTAAAATGGACAATTTAAAACTAAGGGCTAAACATCATAACCTAGTTGATATCTGTGACCTTGAAAATAGGTCAAGGTTATTCTAACAAAATGGCCATACTGGCCAAAAATCCCAGTGAGTTTTGGTTATTGAAAAGGAGTTTAAAGATTTTAAACCTTTGACCCATGTGATCTTGAAAGTGGGTCAAGGACATTTGTTTTAACAGAATATTGGTAGCTTTTCATCCCAGTATGTCAAATATCGTCACCATGTGTCTCTTGGTCATTCTGAAGAATTCATTCAAACTTTTAGCACTTTTAACTCCTGTGAGTTGAAAAGGTCAACATCATTCAATTCAATTCAGGAGAAATTGCTTAAACATTTTATAACAAATTTGGCCCCTGTGACTTTCTGATTTTAAATAATGGTATTGCCATTCATTTTAACAAATTTGATGACTGATTAACCTAGTATGCTACTGTTCAAATGAAAACGCCCCAAAACTTATTCAGGGGAAGTAATTTAAAAATTTAAACCCATTTCACCCCATTGACCGAGAAAGTAGCTCAAGGTCATTCATTTGAATATTTTGAGAGTTCCATCTTCCACCATGCTTCTGGCTTAATATCATCACCCTGAGACTTTTTTTGTCATCAAGAAGCCGGATCATGACATCAGCTCACCAGGCCCTTCAGGCCAGATTGCTAAAAACTTTATCGAGAGTTTATTTTCCTAAACTCCTATTACACTGGGCCGGTCTTTGGAGTGTAGCCATTCTATTTATATATATACTGTTGAGTTCCATTTCAGTAAATCGTCACTAGGTTGAATACAGTGAGGTAGCACTCTGAAGTCGTCTTCAGATCTGTGCTATCACAAGGAGGCAAATACACCAACATACCTTCAAAAGCATACATACACGCATATATTACACACATGAAGACTGGTCCTTAAATATTCTCAGCTGTCAATAGGATGCTAAAAAAAAATAAACCAAACCAAACCATACCAAACCTTGGATGAGTCTGCTGGATAACCAAACTACTCAGTAGTGAAGCGGACGTAAAACCTATAAATCAACCTTAGATGTGGGTCAAGGTCAATCATTTGAACAAACTTTGAAACCAAAGATAAGGTTAAGACCAGACTTGAAGTTCAGATACTCTGGCTCAATTCGGAAAGTCTACAGAAGTATATAATAGTTATCTGAGAATCATAGATAACCAAAAATAAGTGAAAACAGAATTCATCTTTAACTATGTATTGTTCACAATAAAACAAAGATTATAACTTCTTTACACATCTACCTCATTGCTGGTAAAAAAAAAATGCAATATTTCTGCTACTGGTGTTTATAACTGTTACAGTGTGTTCTACTATTGCGGTTATATATTTTGCTTTCCCTTTATCCTTAGTCCCAATATTTTACCTTAATTCTATACAGACTATTTGTCAATGTGAAAATAATAATGAAATCAAAAAAAAATTAAACAGTGTTATTTGAAAAAAAACATAACAAAATTTAGAGTACAGGCACAAATCATGAAAGTCAGACCCTGTAAGATTAACTCATTTACCCCTGAAAACACATTTAAGCTCTTACAGTTCAAAGTTTGGAATAGCTCATTATGCAATTTCAGGGGTGAATGAGTAAATCACTCTTAAGTGTTTTACTTGGTTTTGCTTCCCAAACTTTTATCTCATTCACTCAGCTTGCTGAATTTCCCCCGGGGAACACCAACAAATCATGAAGCCTACAAAATGTAATACTTTAAGCAGTTTTGAGAAGACAACATTTTTCAAATTCAGATGAATTCACATTTAACTTCTAGAGTTAACATTTCAAGGTTTTCCTGCAACAATTAACGAGACTGGAATACGAGATCATGATGTATATGAAGACTGACTGGAACTTTCACTCAGTCTCAAAACCTCAGAGCAAGAAATTTGGATCTTAAGTGAGAAAGACTGTTCAATTAAGTAAGTTATCATAAGACCTATTTGTGGAAGTTTGAAACATGGTAAAATAGACTGACATGTGTTACGTTAATAACACATCTCAATATAACATCCCTTGGTTCATTTACAATGTCGCTTATCATCAATGCTTTTAACCCTTTCAACATTGTAGACAATAATGTAGACTCATCCAGATCGGATCCCCTTTTTATTTTTTTTTAACAATTCCATTATTGTCTGTCTCTACATATCGGCAAACTTCTTTATATTGCCAAATGGTGACAGTGTAATAAGGTTTTACTGTACTTGTATGCAAAAGCTGGTCCGGATCAACATGAAGTAGAGTGACCACACCTTTACTCAAGGAAATTAAACCTCTTAGATTATAATTTACCATTCATAACTATATAGAACCATACATAAATTAACCACAGGTTAAATATGTCATCAGAAAATAAAAACAGGTTTTCCTCTTTCCCAGTATTTACTATCTTCAGCACATAAGATTTGTCTCCATTTGTTACAGGTGGGTTAAAAATAGTGTATTATACATATCGTTTGCACTCTATGGTCCAAGGGGAATAACTCCCACTCGGAAAGGCTACAAACTCTGAAACATCAGGGTCAGTAGTACTTATATTGTTTTAGCTCACAAATATGTCTCACAACTCTTCATCCAATCAAATGTCATTGATACTTCTACATGATCACTATGATGTCCCAGCATCCTGAAAATAAAACCAATGTATTTTATGAAATATTTCCAATCTCTTTGTGCATATTATTACAAAAGATCTGCAGTAAAACCTGTATGTTATCTATTGTAACTTTCTGTGGAGATACTTGTGGTTCTGAATGATCATGAGGTACTTTTGTAAGGAAGGTGCATTAAATTACAGTAGTTTATATTCCTATACAACACACATCATTAATCACATGTCACAAATTACCATATGTAAATTACCACATAACACATTGGAGAAAAGATTTTGCTTTTGACAATCAATCTATTATATATGGATGCCTGAAATATATTGACATATACCAAGTAATGGTTTGAAAACTGACTCTAGTTATATATCCTCAACAAGAAATATTGAACATCAACCTTCATCTGAAGATAACAAAAAAACACTTCCAAATTAAGTGCATCCTCACCTGTTTCAGCTTCAAGAGTTTTGGATATTTTAATTCATTGTTACAGTTGGCTAGTCCCATCCCAAATCCTACACCAGTAAAGAAAAGTAGCGACCACCGGGTCCCACCTGTTCAAGAAAATAAAGGCTATTAGTTCTTTACCTAAGGTCACTTTCAACATCAATGGTTTGTAGATGATAGTGTTAAATGCAAACATTTATCATAAATAACCAATTTTGAATAAGGCAAAAAAAAATATATGTGTGTTTGTGCTTGAAATATTTGAAAAGATTTTTATTATGCTTAAAAAGAACAGGAGTTCTGACTTTAACAGTGCTTATCAATAAATGCCAATAAAAACTTCAGGGTAGGCACGAAAAACTAGGGTCGATAAGGAAACCGGAAAACATACATAATTATTTTTGGCCTAAGGCATCGCAAATCAGTGTTTGAAGTCGATGACTGTTTGAGTATTGATTGATACCAAAAAGCAATCCCAAGCGAGTGTTTTCAGTAAGAAACAGTAATGAGTGTTTCCAGCCAACTTGAGCTAGTGGGTGGAAAAATAATTTTCTATTTTTAGAAACAGAGACCTTCAGACCTGACAGCCAATCCTAAGCAGGATTTTTTGTTAAGGAAGTAGTATTTGAATTTTGAGTTTGATCGACAAATTTCAACTTGAGTCATTGAAACTCATTTTCTATTTATAGCACTGTTCAAGTGAATTTGACCTTCACCCTTCAAATTATTACAGTGAGAAAACACGTTATGAAACTTTAGTAGATTAAGACCACAAGAACTCAAGTTTTTTTTGCGGAGACAATGGTGAGATGGACAATGATAAATCACAATGATAAATCACCTCTAGTCTCTGTCTTGGGGTTGCTAAGGCAAGACACAAAAAAACATGTTTCCTGTAACTTGTTGGAAAAAATCATGGTAGGTAGGTACCTAACAAGTTTTATTTTAACAAAATATTTTGTATTTTAATCTTGATTTTAACAGTGCTTCTTTGAAAATTGACTTTAAAAGTTTAGGGTGGACACAAAAAATTAGGGTAGGCCCCCCGTCTCTAGAATATGGAATTATTAAGATTTTCTTTTTATCTATAATTATTTTGATCACTTGGATGTCTGATTCTAGACCGAAGCTCTAAACTAGGGGGAGATAATCTCTAGCTAGTAGTAAAATGCAGTCGAGAAATTCTTCATAAATCTTAGGGGCTGGTAGCCAGTCTAAGGTAACTGGAAACACCAGCATTTCCTCCCCAGAAAAAAACCCTGAGCAACATTAAATTTTGATACATAAAGGGATTTCCATTAGGAAGGGCTGTTCTAGTGAACTATTTCTCATTACAGTTTGAATCTGTTGTCTCAAAGTTTGTTCGGGATATTTTTATGTTCAGTTACAGTGACAAATTATCCGAAATTGAATTATTATTCTTCCCAAGGTCAAATCACATACCAAGTTGGAGCTTTGTGCAATCATTCCTTCTGAAGTAAGTTTCTGGATAGCCAGAGTTTCCTCTGTCCTTGACACCAGACTCAGACATTTTGAAAGATAGATGTCTGATAGCCATCTATCTGTCTGATAGCAATCTATCTGTCAAAATGTCTGTCTGGTGTCAGGGACAGAGGAAATTCCGGCTATTTTCTGGACAAGAAAGTGAAGTGACAACAGACATCCTGTCTGACCACTAAATCTTTCCCCACTACGTCATTTCCTCTCGAGGACAAAAAATAATTAAAAAACAAAAATTGATACTCCCTTTTTGTACACACACCCTTATCATAAATACAGGTTCTTTTGTTTGGCCTCCCAAAAATGATGAAATAAATTGACATCAATACATTTTTAAAACATGTTTAACCCTTTCACCACTAGACCACAATGGACTCGTCCAGATCAATGCATGGTCGAGTCTACTAAAGTTACACAGGGTTGAAAGGTTTAACTTAAGCTCTTCCGATCTGTCAGTCAACTTACCTTTAGTTTTCCCAAATCTTGTCAGTGATAATATTCCTCCAATGGTGGCCCCGGAGACTGAGGAACAGAAATAAACACGAACTTATATAATTGTCTCTTACTTCAACGTGAGTAAAAATTCAGACTATCAGTAGACTATACATATATAGCTATTGTACCGGGTAAAGAGTACTAAATTAGTCTTATCAAGGATAGACCTGTGGTCATCTTAAATATACTGTACATATTTAAATTAAAATTAAGTCTGATTTCTTTCTTCTATCAGGCATTATAGCACATCGCATTAATTTAATGCAATGTATGTAACAGAGGTCAATATTTTTTCAATGCCTCTGCTAGTGATTCGAACCAGGGACCTCTGGTTTACTAGTCTTACGCTCTACCAAATGAGCTGAAGAGATATTCTCCCTAACCGAAACGGTAAGTGGCCAGTTATTTTTTTGTACCAGAGTGACATGTATTTTTTTGCTTGATTGTAAATAGGCTATATATATATACTACAATAATATTACTTAGCAGAATAGTTACGGTATGAACGTAGCGGTACCTGTATACTGTTATACCAATGTCCCATAACTTTCATGAGAAACCTGGTTGGTAAACATCGAATGCGTCAAAACAGGTAACACTGGAGAAAAGTACCAAACTGACACATCAGTCATGAATCAAAGTACAAATATTTGCCAATTCATTTTTATAGCAGTCATTGATTGTTAAAATAAATTCAAAAATCTTACTGGTCTTAAGGGCAGTATCCACAATACATTTGTCCCATTTATCCGCAATAACGTCCTCCGATCTCGCAGCCATGTTGGAAGGTTATGATGGGCGCGTTCGATTCTAGAGTCTTTACTTACGCACGGTGCATTCGATTGTGAAATTATTGCGATTCAGGTTGCTGATGGCACAGGGACATGGAAGAAATTGATACCGATGAAGTTTTAAAATTGTTTCGTGCTACTCTTATGCTTTGTTTTTGTTCTATTTTATACTATCGCAGCTTTATTTTTATTTTTTATAATATTATTTTACAGTATCAACTAATTAACATCATTGATATCAGCATCATCTTCTGTTTTTATACACAATTGTAGCTTTTCTTTCTCCCCTCAATATTTTTTACATAACTAACTGATACCATTGTCAAGGAAAGTTTCCAGATATGATAGCTACCACCTGAAGTTGTCCATCCGGGTTAAAAATGAAATTCCTTCTGACCTTTTTCTTTTTACAAAGTTATGGCCCTTTGTTGAGAAATGCTTGTCCGGACAACTCCTCAAAAACTACGAGCCAATTTCAACGATATTTTTCAAAAATGATAACTACCACCTGCATCCAGGTATTATTATTTTTTTCATTCTGACCCTTTTTACGGAGTTATTGCCCTTTGTTGAAAAATGCTTACCCGCACAACTTCTCCAAAACTTCTGGGTGCCTATTTCAATGAAAATGTTCACATATGATAACTACCATCTGATGTTGTGCATCCAGGTATACTTTTTTCAATCCGTCCCTTTTTTGGAGTAAATGCCCTTTGTTGAAAAATACTTGTCTAGACAACTACTCCAAGACTATGCAGCCAATTTGAACGAAAGTTTCCAGATATGATAATTACCCCCTGATGTTGTGCATCCAGGTATTTTTTTCCAACCCCTTTTTTATAGAGTTGTGGCCCGCTTTTGAAAAATCCTTGTCCTGACAACTTCTCCTAATCTACTCAGCCATTTTCAAAGAAGAAAGTTTACAGATATGGTTTGTTTTGGCATTGGGAGGGACTACAGGAAGTATGTCAGTGACCTGTATACTTGATAAAGAAATCATTATTGGGGGCATGGGAGACGATGGATTGCTTTGTAATGCTTTGCCTTAGTAAGCCTTTAACTTACCGTTCTGGTTTATATATAGCAGCGGGGGTGTTAGTTGGCTTACAATTATTTCTAGTTCATTCTAAGTAGATGGCAAATGTTTCTACACACAGTATGATATGACGTAAGTTATCATATATTGTTTTCATCCAACTTATACCATTACGAAAATAAAAACAATACATTATCAATGACATTCGGTTTTGGATGGTCATGTGGGAAAGACTCGTCTTTCACCAAGGCGGCCGGGGTTCGATTCCCCGATCGAACGTGAAAATGTACGGGGCCACCTATACCCAACCACGTGGGTTTTCTATCGGTACTCTGGTTTCTTCCCCGTGCGCGCTAACATCCATGCCAAAAAGAGTGATTAATATAAACTGAAAAAAGTTGTTTAATAGTTGTTGTAAAGTTTATATCTATATTTATATTTCATAACTTGCAGACCAGCAGAATCAATATTATCAATATGCTCGTTTATAACATATGAACCATGGGCACACATGCATACATTACACACACGAAGCACGTCCTTAAATGACAATATCTTTTGATAGGACACTTAACCATGCTAAACCAAATAGAGTCAATGAATGTGTCCATAAAGCAGCATGTGCCTTCAGCCTTCAGACACATAACCACAGCAGAGAAACAGAAAAAATAATTGTCTTAATTAGTATAACAAATATGTCATTTAGAACACCTTGTGCACACAACTTCCACGTGATGTGTGATCGACAAAACACCATCACAGCCCTCATCATTCATTATATCATCCTCGACATTCCAGGGGTTATAGTCTCTAACATTCCAGGGTTATACTCTCTAACATTCCAGGGGTTATACTCCCTAACATTCCAGGGGTTATACTCTCTAATATTCCAGGGGTTATACTCTCTAACATTCCAGGGGTTATACTCTCTAACATTCCAGGGGTTATACTCTCTAACATTCCAGGGGTTATACTCTCTAACATTCCAGGGGTTATACTCTCTAACATTCCAGGGGTTATACTCTCTAACATTCCAGGGGTTATACTCTCTAACATTCCAGGGGTTATACTCTCTAACATTCCAGGGGTTATACTCTCTAACATTCCAGGGGTTATACTCTCTAACATTCCAGGGGTTATACTCTCTAACATTCCAGGGGTTATACTCTCTAACATTCCAGGGGTTATACTCTCTAACATTCCAGGGGTTATACTCTCTAACATTCCAGGGGTTATACTCTCTAACATTCCAGGGGTTATACTCTCTAACATTCCAGGGGTTATACTCTCTAACATTCCAGGGGTTATACTCTCTAACATTCCAGGGGTTATACTCTCTAACATTCCAGGGGTTATACTCTCTAACATTCCAGGGGTTATACTCTCTAACATTCCAGGGGTTATACTCTCTAACATTCCAGGGGTTATACTCTCTAACATTCCAGGGGTTATACTCTCTAACATTCCAGGGGTTATACTCTCTAACATTCCAGGGGTTATACTCTCTAACATTCCAGGGGTTATACTCTCTAACATTCCAGGGGTTATACTCTCTAACATTCCAGGGGTTATACTCTCTAACATTCCAGGGGTTATACTCTCTAACATTCCAGGGGTTATACTCTCTAACATTCCAGGGGTTATACTCTCTAACATTCCAGGGGTTATACTCTCTAACATTCCAGGGGTTATACTCTCTAACATTCCAGGGGTTATACTCTCTAACATTCCAGGGGTTATACTCTCTAACATTCCAGGGGTTATACTCTCTAACATTCCAGGGGTTATACTCTCTAACATTCCAGGGGTTATACTCTCTAACATTCCAGGGGTTATACTCTCTAACATTCCAGGGGTTATACTCTCTAACATTCCAGGGGTTATACTCTCTAACATTCCAGGGGTTATACTCTCTAACATTCCAGGGGTTATACTCTCTAACATTCCAGGGGTTATACTCTCTAACATTCCAGGGGTTATACTCTCTAACATTCCAGGGGTTATACTCTCTAACATTCCAGGGGTTATACTCTCTAACATTCCAGGGGTTATACTCTCTAACATTCCAGGGGTTATACTCTCTAACATTCCAGGGGTTATACTCTCTAACATTCCAGGGGTTATACTCTCTAACATTCCAGGGGTTATACTCTCTAACATTCCAGGGGTTATACTCTCTAACATTCCAGGGGTTATACTCTCTAACATTCCAGGGGTTATACTCTCTAACATTCCAGGGGTTATACTCTCTAACATTCCAGGGGTTATACTCTCTAACATTCCAGGGGTTATACTCTCTAACATTCCAGGGGTTATACTCTCTAACATTCCAGGGGTTATACTCTCTAACATTCCAGGGGTTATACTCTCTAACATTCCAGGGGTTATACTCTCTAACATTCCAGGGGTTATACTCTCTAACATTCCAGGGGTTATACTCTCTAACATTCCAGGGGTTATACTCTCTAACATTCCAGGGGTTATACTCTCTAACATTCCAGGGGTTATACTCTCTAACATTCCAGGGGTTATACTCTCTAACATTCCAGGGGTTATACTCTCTAACATTCCAGGGGTTATACTCTCTAACATTCCAGGGGTTATACTCTCTAACATTCCAGGGGTTATACTCTCTAACATTCCAGGGGTTATACTCTCTAACATTCCAGGGGTTATACTCTCTAACATTCCAGGGGTTATACTCTCTAACATTCCAGGGGTTATACTCTCTAACATTCCAGGGGTTATACTCTCTAACATTCCAGGGGTTATACTCTCTAACATTCCAGGGGTTATACTCTCTAACATTCCAGGGGTTATACTCTCTAACATTCCAGGGGTTATACTCTCTAACATTCCAGGGGTTATACTCTCTAACATTCCAGGGGTTATACTCTCTAACATTCCAGGGGTTATACTCTCTAACATTCCAGGGGTTATACTCTCTAACATTCCAGGGGTTATACTCTCTAACATTCCAGGGGTTATACTCTCTAACATTCCAGGGGTTATACTCTCTAACATTCCAGGGGTTATACTCTCTAACATTCCAGGGGTTATACTCTCTAACATTCCAGGGGTTATACTCTCTAACATTCCAGGGGTTATACTCTCTAACATTCCAGGGGTTATACTCTCTAACATTCCAGGGGTTATACTCTCTAACATTCCAGGGGTTATACTCTCTAACATTCCAGGGGTTATACTCTCTAACATTCCAGGGGTTATACTCTCTAACATTGCAGGGGTTATACTCTCTAACATTTCAGGGGTTATACTCTCTAACATTCCAGGGTTATACTCTCTAACATTCCAGGGGTTATACTCTCTAACATTCCAGGGGTGATACTCTCTAACACTCCAGGGGTTATACTCTCTAACATTCCAGGGGTTATACTCCCTAACATTCCAGGGGTTATACTCTCTAACATTCCAGGGTTATACTTTCTAACACTCTAGGGGTTATACTCTCTAACATTCTCTGCACCTCTGTAATATGTCATGATGCAATCGAAGGCTCTGTGCGCGCTTCCTTGTTGATGATACAAATATAAAAAAAAGTAGATGAGTTTGATTCTTTGATCAAAAGAATCACGCGTCCGCGTAACGGTAAAACTTACTGGCTTTGAAGTCGGGTATCGCTTCTCCGTAATCTTCAAAAGAAAGATATCAGTGTCAGTAATTTTTAACTTAAAAATAGTTAACAGTGTGTCTTCGATTTTGCCTTTAAGGAGTACATAGAACGTTAATATACGTAACTCCTGGAATTTAGAAGGCTGTCATTAAATGACATCTTAGTGGTCGGTCCTGTTCTGTAACTGTCTTTATAGCGAACCATATATTTAGATTTCCATTCATTAGGAGGCACGGTAGTCTAGTGGTAGGTTCCAGTCTACTCAGCTGTAAATGAGTACGTGGTTTGGGCAGTGCTAGAAATGTAGAATGCTAGCTGTGATCGCCGAAATGGCAGCACCGGCTGTA